TGAAACGACACTTTGAAATGTTTTCCCGATGAAAATTAATAATAATAATAATATAATAATAAGTTTCAATAAAAATGATAAAATGTAAATTTAATTTTATCATAACGAGTTTGCTTGAATTTCGTTTCTTCTGAGATCGCAGCAATGCGCGACGGGTAAGCTAGTATATATATATTATAGACTGAGTAGACTAAAAATAAAAAAATAAATCATCAATTTGCATACAGTTTAACTTTTATCTGAAGATGTAATTACTTAAACAGTCAGAAACATTGGTTTAGTAATTAAAGTAAAGAGGAAAACAAATTTTTAAAAAGCATAAAAATAAATGTTTAGAATAAAAACTCAGAATAGAAGAAATATTGACAAGACACCACTCAGACACATACTTTTCAAAAAAAATGATCAGAACAGATAAAGGAATGACTATACCTTTCAGCACAATTATTCTTTTTGGCAAATGTTTTTGATCTGTCAGAATTCACAACTTGAATGTTCTAAATCAAAATGCTATCAGGTGTGATGACATATGTGAAATATATTAAAATTAAAATTTAAAAAGATCAGGCTCCATGAGACCATGTAGTCATCTTTTTTTTTAAATTTAAATTTTAATATATTCAACATATGCCATCACACCTGATAGCATTCCAATTTAGAAGATTCAAGTTGTGAATTTCTGACAGATCTGAGAAAACTTATAAAGCTGGAAACATTTGTCAAAAAGAATAATTATGCTGGAAAGTGCAAAAAAATATAGTAATTTCTTTATTGAACTCAGTTCCAGCTGTGTTGTGTTTAAATTTAAGCCTGATAAATGAGACATGGATAATATATTAAATCCAAAACTGAAAAGATAATGGAATCATGCAGTATGATCACCTTCCAAAAAAATTTCAAATTGCAGTGTCTGCTAAAAAAGTTCTCAATATGATTTTCTGGATCCAGAAAAGTGTTATCCTTTCCTATGCTATTCCAAAGGACATTACCATCATTAAAAAGTTTACAAAAACACAGAAATGTTTTTGCTTACAATTGCAAAAAAGTAACTTGAATTGATGAGAAATTTCAATCTCCATCAAGAGAATGCTCCACTAAGAAAGGCATGAATTGTTAGAATTTTTGATTGATGAGGTTATTAAGACTGCTAGACATTTTCATACACCTGATCTCCCTCCTAGTGACTTTTGATCATTTGACACATTGAAACTAGCTTTTCAATGGAAACAGTTCTTATCAAAATTAAGTTTGGTTTCATCAGTTAATTGCAATTATAGCATATACCTGAAAAATCCTACAAAACATGTTATGACAAGTGAGTTGAGTACTAACAACTGTTCTTAGACAAGAAAAAGAGACTATGTAGAAAATAAACAGTGTAAATAAATTATTTTGAGAATTTTTTATGAATAGCTTTTAAAGTGTTCTTTGTATGTATATATATATATATATATTTATTTATTTATTCGTAAACAAGTTTATAATACAAACAATAAAATATTTCCAAGAGTCCAATAAATTTACTCTATAATTTTTACTTTATAAAATTATTACTACTACGTATTAAAAAAATGAAAAACTTACATCAAATAAAAACACTTTAGTAATAATAAAGGCACCACTTCCTGCAGTTGTTATCTGTAATTATTAATAATAATACATATAAAGCATTAAATATTCATTAATATTAAAAAATACAATATAGATATTTGAATTCAATTAAAGAACTAACAATACTTCCCTTATTTGGAATGGAAAAAGTTTACATTTTTTTACTACATTACAAAAAGTTAATATATTCTTCTCAAAAACTTTCATGTCCTCCCTATCCTCCAAAAATATTACATTTTCAATAGCAAAATACACTATTATATAATAATTTTTTATTTACTATATTTTTTACCTTATAACATGTGATATTATATTGGATGCATCACATTTTTCACATCAACTTTTTGAGGAAAAAATATTATTCATAATATAGGATGCATCATAATTTTCAGATACATTTTAGATACATTAATTCTTATAAGGCAAAGAATACAGTAATTATATTAAAATATTACAAAGAAAGCATTTTAATTTTAAAAATTTCACAGTCTGTTATTCACTTAAGCTTCAATAAGAAAATATCTAAACTATTAAATATAGATTTTGTCATTTAAATATTAGCTTTTGTTAAATTATTCAATCTTGCTTACTGTAATTAAAATACAGATATAATTTTTTCTGACAAAAATTTGATACCGTAGCAATTAGAAAAAATAATTTTGACTTTAATATATTCTTTGTCCAGAAAGAAATTCTAACAAACATTATTTTGTAAAATAGATGTTTCACTTAACATTTTCATTTGTAGAAATATTTTTACTCTAAAACTTAAGAGACTAAAAATATTATATTTATGAACATAATTTAAATTACTTACTGCAACAACCCACCAATGAGATATTCTAAATAAGGCATAGGCAGATATCAGAAGTATAAATCTCCAAACAGATAACAACTACAATTAAATGAAATTATAAATGTAATATATATTTACTTTTCATTAAAAATAAAATTTTTAACAACTCCTGTTCAAATATATATTTCTCAACTTTGTAAGTATTTAATAAGATGTGTGCAAACATGAATAAAATAATAAATTCTACAAAGATATAAAGCTCAATTTGAAATTGAATTTCAATTTTAAATTTCAATTTCATATATTAGAATTTAAAAAACTATATTAAACAGTCAGAAAATTTCATTATTATTAATTTTATTTAATGAAAAATTTTAGATGGAAAGAAACAGCTATTCAGATTTATGAATTCAATATTCAGATTATAATAAAAATGTAACAGCAGTATTTTGTCAAATTGGATTTGAATTTGATTATTTGTAAGCTACAACCACAATTCATCAAATCAAATTATAAGTAGCAGAGGTTTTAATAGTTACCTTTAAGTTGTTGCTTTTAAATCTTAGCTAATAGCTTTTGAACAAGTTTCTAAGACTTAAAAAAAATGTATCTTAAGAGCCACTGCAAACTACAACTTTGCGAGAGCAAAACACTAGCAAACAAACCTGATGACGTCAAAGGCCCCACTTCTTTCTTCGCATCCGCATGGTTATCCCTTTGCTAGTGCAGTGATATGAGTGTTGACTGTTGACAGAATTTAACAACGAGCATACGCTCATATCGCTGCACTAGCAAAGGGATAACCATGCGGATGCGAAGAAGTGGGACTTTGACGTCATCGGGTGCACTAGCGCACATTTGCTAGCATTTTGCTGTTAGAGCCGCTGCAAACTAGTGCTTTACGACAATTATAAACATTGTCTTACCATCTACTAATTATCATCAACTATTAATTGAATTCTAAGAGGAAATGCACCAGAAAAACATCGAGAAAAATTATCACAAATGATACAGAGTTTCTGAAATGCAGGAATCTAATCCATCTAAGATATAATCTAAATTGAATATTTAGATAACAAATTTGAAAATTCTTCCATTTCAATACAGTAGATCCCCCTATAAGATGGTAGATACGTTCCGTTCTTTATGAATCAATTTTGTAGGAATCACAGTTTACGGACTACGGCTGTTTGAAAGGTTTTCTTCCATAAAATTAATCGATTCTAGACTAATTTGACTCANACACTCGAGGCGCGAGGCCCTTCGGACCGCGAGGCACAGGTGGTGGCCCACGTTGCCCATGCCTTATGCTGCCCTTGGTCATAGAAATGATGTAATTTGAAAATAAAATTATTTATAAATACGTATGTCAAGTTATATTTTTATTACGACGCAAAATATATTTAAGAGTTTACGGCCACTGTGCCGGGTGAGACGTTGTTGAAACAAAAAAGTTATGCATTCCATCACGTACATAAACAGTATCGTAATTCGCCAAGTGCAAATCAGCAAATCCGTAAAATTTTTGTTTATTTTGAACAATCCGGATAATCGAAAATCCGGATAATGGAGGTCCGGATAATTGAGGTTCTACTGTATTTTAATTATATATCCTACTTACACTTTTAGATATATTCACATTACTAATGCAAATTTAATGTTTTTGTAATCCATTGTATTCTTCACTATATGATGATCATATCAAAATACAATATAGCGACCAGCATGTACAGTACTTCCTAATAACGGACATCTCTAAATAACAGACAAACATCTCAGTCCCAATGGTGGCTACTATTCGGAAGTTATACTGTATTTATTTATAATCACATCAATATCCCAAAGCCCAATTTATTGATATTGATACTAATCCAAACTCTTGCCGTAATTAATCAGGCTATTATTATGCTATAATTAATAATTAGAAACTAAGTAATTTGATACTAGAGGTTAAAGAGATGGCACCTAATGTCTACCTTTAGTACCAAATTACAGTAGAGTGTCGTTTATCCGAAAGCTGGTTATCCGAAACGTCTGTTATCCGAAAGCATTCCAGTCAGCAAATTTAAATTTTCACTAGTGCTGTGGCACTGCAATCTTCGGCTATTTCTTGGGCTACTCAAATATTTTACGTTTTTGATACTAAATTAACATCTGAAGTATAATTTTTTATTGTTTTTATATTTTTCAATATATTTATTTTGTTTGTACAAAATAAAAAAATAATTTTTAATGATACAATAGTCTTCGTTAGGCTTAACATCGACGAAAATTCAACGCGAAGCGACA